AAAAAGAAGAATAGTATGAGGGTGAGCAAGGCTGAAATAATTTTTAATGATTTCCTCTGGATTTTTGTCAGGTTAGCCCAGTATTTTGGCTTTCCATAGAATTCCTTATTTAAGTTCATGTATATTAACATGTATGTATAGTAACATGTGTATCTACATAAAAAGGACATGGAACTGTTGGAACACATCCAGAGGAGGCCATGAGGATGATCAGGGCGTGGAGCACCTCCTGTATGAAGATAGGCTGAGAAAGTTGGGGCTGTTCAGCCTGGAGAAGAGAAGGCTGCGTGGAGACCTCAGAGCAGCCTTCCAGTATCTGAAGGGGGCCTATAGGGATGCTGGGGAGGGACTCTTCATTAGGAACTGTAGTGATAGGACAAGGGGTAATGGGTTCAAACTTAAACAGGGGAAGTTTAGATTGGATATAAGGAGGAAGTTCTTTACTGTGAGGGTGGTGAGGCACTGAAATGGGTTGCCCAGGGAGGTTGTGAATGCTCCATCCCTGGCAGTGTTCAAGGCCAGGTTGGACAGAGCTTTGGGTGAGATGGTTTAGTGTGAGGTGTCCCTGCCCATGGCAGGGGGGTTGGAACTTGATGATCTTAAGGTCCTTTCCAACCCTAACTATTCTATGATTCTATGATTCTATATTCATTGGATTTCTTGTTGTCTCTAAAATAATCTAAAAACAGAGAATAGAACAGCTCACAGGAAATTTAACAGCAAGCATATTCCCATATCTGCAGGGAATGTTGTGGGTATCCATTTTTCCTGTGTACAAGTTGGAGCCTAAGACAATCCTGTGAAATTCTCCTTCTTCAAGCATAGTGGAACCTTTTTGTGTTAGTCCCAATTGTTATTTTCTTCCAGATAAGTAACTGCTCAAGTTTCACAGCATCAGCTCTGAAAACTTTCTGCCTTGTGATGCCTCATTGTCAGAATTTGTTAGCAAATTCTGTTGCCATTCTTGTTCGATGTATATCATGGACAGAACTGTAGTTCCTTGGTTAACATTTATGATTTGAATTGAGAGGTTACCCCATTCACCTCATGCAGATTGGTTTTGAAAGCATCACTCTTCAGGAGTTTAGCATAAAACATCCATAATTTCTTCTTTAAGAGTGAAAAAGTATTGAGTTTTACTGGAGTCTTTGTGTTAGTAGATACAGATACTCTTATCCAACACTAATGATTCCTGATAATAAACAAGAAACTCCAGTTATTTTCAAACTAGAGCTCCTACTCAGGAGAGAGAAGTCACAGAGAAAGGTTAATTGGTGGTTGTAGATTTGTTGTGTGGTGTTGAGCATTTCCAAACAATTATTCTAGCTGGCCTCTGCTACTCATGTGACTTTGTTTTTCCTCCAAACTGCTTTATGGGTTCTTTGGTTCCTTACAACTTGAGAACAGTTCATTTCCACATGTAAAACAATTGGTGGACAATTTGGTGGTAGTTGTGGCTTGTTGCAGAAGTTTTCTTTGTGAATGTGGTGTCTGGTTTTGCGTTTGTGCTGTATAACCGGGAAAATATGTGTCAGTAAAATGAAATGTTTAGTTAGTGGCTCCTACCAAAACAACTGCAGGTGGATTTTTCTTGTCAATAATCCACTCTACTGACTGGGAAAAGTTAATTCTTGGAGAGGAGCCAGTGTTTTCGTGGGTGTTTGTTTAGGGATAAATTGTAAAAAATGTTTATGCATTAAAGTAAGCAAGCTTGAACATACACTGATGCCTTGTAGAGGGGATAAATCTGTGCTGGTGGGCTATATAAAAGCATTTCCTTATTCTAAATTTGCTTAAATTAGCTATATGCCATCCAGCTCACTCTCTAGATTGCCTTCCTTAAAAATGAATATTCCTAAAGAAAACCCAAAGGGCAACTCCCCCAACTTCTTCCCTATTTTATGCCAATTTTTACTGCTAAGTCTCTCTTTTTCCAAATATAAACTTAATATGAGTAAAATCCTAAGGACTTTTATAAATGTAATTTTATTGCATTTATCTCTACAGCTGAAATTAATTATTCAGAGTGTTCATTAAAAATAAGCTTTGGTAAGTGACATTTTAAACAGGCATTCAGAAGTGATTTCAGGAAAGATGGTGATAAAGAACAGTGTCTAAAAGGAAGTGTAAAATTCTTGAACATTTTAAACCAGCCTGTGAAAACTTCAAATGTGGCTATGTGGACAGTTTGGGATGTGTAACAGGAACAGGTAGTATTGATGCTAGACTGGGGCGGCTGCTAGCATAGCCGCTGCCAAGTTTTGCATCTATCAGGTGTTTGGTGTGGGGCGTTTTTGTTTTGAAATGTTTGGTGCTGGCCTTGAGAAAACAGGCAGAAGTTGTTTTTTATTCAATAAAGAATGTGTAGGGTTTTTTTCCCCTTGATAATGGAGAAACTTCTGAAAAGGTGACTATGAAAGCATCATAAACCCCTAGACTCTAGATAGCAGCTGAGAAAACCTAACAGAACCTCCCCGTTTATTGCTTAGTATAAACTGAAATTCATATACAGGTGAAAACCTATAGCACAGTCAGCACTCATCTATGATGAGACAGACATCTTCTAGAGCTTCTCAAGGTTTGCAGTCCACCTGATCCTTGGCAGCCCATGAGGAATTCCAGTTGTCGCTACTACCAGACACAGTTATTGTTAAAGGAAGGTAGTCCTGGGTCTTTTTGTATCCAGAAAACGTGTTGTCAACCACTTCATCTGTGCCAAAGTTGATTCATTTATCCTTAGCTCTTAGGACACTTTCCTATCTTTTATTTAGGTCTTACCAATGGCTATTGTGGCACCTAAAGTCTTAAGTAGACTCATGAATATTTAAGCAGTGAATCAGCCTATTACAGCTGAAATAAACAGTTGCTGTCATCAGATTTGTGTGTTTCAACAATTAGTTAAGAGGTACAGTTAGGAAAAATAAATGTCCATCAGTCATATTTGAGATGTTGGATGGTAAAAATGATAGTGGGCTATTTATTGTGGGAAGCAGAGAGAAAGAAGAAAATGTGTGATTTAGAGACAGAGAAGGCTTTCTTCTAAGTTCTCTTCTTAAGTTTACCATGAGTACAGCAGAAACAGTCTTAAGTATCAAAACCATGCCTTAGAATGTTGAGTAATGGTGTGGGAATAATGTTTATAATCTGTGAAAACAAATCAAATGATAAACTGCATGCCAGGGCCAGTTAGCTCTCATATTTACTTCTGTATGATAATGTAGATCTAATATGTTTTTTTCTATACAACATTTGTCTAGTAATTTTCTTCTACATTGTAAGTGCTAGTGAAGGCTTTCTGGTTTCTCACAAGCTAAATGCTTTCCTGTTTTAAATACTTGTTTTTTGTATGTTAAATGCACACAAGAATTAGTTCAGTCTTGTCATTATTTGAAGCTGCAGTCTCTCCCTGTTCTGCTTTGATGACCCTACTACCCCTCTTGCCTTCCTGCCCTCCACAAGCCCCCAGCCCTGCAAGACAATGCATGCTTTTTAACTAAGCTCATCATCCCGTTTTGGAATAAACACTTTTACATTATTTTTCCTGAGAATTATCCTACTCAAATGGTGCATTACCATGTAAGTTGGCCATAGATCTCTGAAAATGCCCATGCTCAGACTTTTCAAAGCAAAAATCTGTTGGCTCTTTGGAGCAGTGATTTGCAGACTTTTTTCCTGTGTATCTTGAGTTGATAAATTCCTTATTGCTTTGCCAGGAGTGGTAGACTTCTATATAATTCCGTTGAAGCTGTGTGTCCCCTGAAAAAGTTGAGTACTTGAAATGGTACAGATGTCAAATGCGATGGATTACCAGTGTTAGCATTTGATACAGAACTGCGATGCTGGGAGAAAGAGCAAGGCATACAGGCAGTTTCTGCTTCCAAGTAGACTGTTTAAACCGTAAGACTGTTAATGTATTATTTATAAGATCTGCTCCTTTACATTCCATTTTCCTCTCTGATTTTTTGTCTTGTAGTGTTGTCCCTCAGACAACAGTAATACTGAACAATGACCGGCAGAATTCAATTGTAGCCAAGATGGTTGGGCAGGAAGAGCCCCTGAGCAGAGCAGCGGATTCCCTGGAAAATATCCTTAGCAAGTTAGTAGCGGTTACGGGAATCCTCCCCCTTCATTCCCTCCTTTGACAGGTCCAGTCTCTGCAGCATTTTGAAGACAAAAAATGAGGAATGTTCTGGGTGATAGTGTAGAGGGTGACATGGAATTGGTACCTGAATATTTAACCAGGCGGACAGTTCTGCCTGTAGAGGCCTTGCATCAACAGGCAAGGTATAACGCAATGCTTCACTCATGGTGGGGTGAGAGTATTCTTGGAGGATGTAGGATTAGTTCAATGTTAGTTGAAAGAAAGTGTCCACAGCTCCATGTGTTTTACATGGATGCATAGTCACATAGGGATGTGCCAAGATCCTGTATTTAACCGGCTGAAGAAGGAATATGCAGCCACCCAAGGAAGGCTTGTTAGAATTTATACTGTCTAAAGCAAATTTTAAATAAAATGGAACTGGAGATTTTGGGTAGAAAATGTTCTTAAATAATATTTGTATAATTTTTTGTTGTTTGTTTGCACATTGGGCCTAGACTTTTCCATTGATGCAAATGTAAAAGGTGTATCTAAAAGTTTTTTTTTTCTTCTGCAGTTTTCTTTACATTTTATTTTGCTGGATAGCAAAAAAAAGAAAAAAGCGATTAGTCTGTGTTTTGAATGCATATGTTAGTGTTTTTTGCATCCCAAGTGGATCTTACAGAGAAATTAGAGACAAGCATTTGGCATGGATGTCTAAACAGTAGAGTAAGATTATAACTTGAGTTATGAACAGGAGTAGGATTGTTTAAAGGGGTATACTTTTACAATATATGTAATTTTGTCAGTGTTTTCAGTTCCTCACAGTGATGTTGTCAGTGTTTTCAATTCCCTCACAATGATGTTATTCCTAAAGAAGGATTGTGTTTTTCCCAAAGTTATCTACTTTTCTTTTCCATAGTGCTGTTCCTGGACGTAGGCAGAACACCATAGTGGTGAAAGTTCCTGGGCATGACGACAGTCACAATGAAGATGGAGAGAGTGGCTCTGAGGCCAGTGACTCAGTTTCCAACAGCGGACAAATAGGAAGCCAAAGTATTGGAAACAACGTCACCCTTATTACACTGAACTCTGAAGGTATGCTCATCTAACTATAAGGCTACTTGAGCAGAGTAAATGTGGTGGTGGAATGAACTGGAAGCTTCAGAGGTCATAATCACAGGTCCAACTTGGAATTGTTAGGCAGCACAGCAAGCATCGGATAGAAGTGAACCAATCTGAATGAGTCATTTGTTTGTTTCATTTTTGCAGGCAGAACAGCTAATTTAAATAACTTAACAAAAGGTAGTCCCCACTGTGGCAGTGTAGCTTTATACTTTAAACCCTCTAAATTAACAGATGCAACCTGCAGGGTTTCCTATCACCAAGCTGAAATATTGTGTCAGGAAAAAAAATGCCTTCTCTGGGAAATAGAAACTACTGGTACCATTTCTTCCTGTTATTTACTATGGTAGTCCACTTACGTAATTTTTATGAATGTAAAATAGTTGTTTTAGCAATAGTAAACAATTTTTATTTATGAATGTAAAATAGTTGTTTTAGCAATAGTAAACAATTTTTATGAGGAAATCCATCTTAAAAACAGTGTTAGTAGGATAGTGTGTAGTGTCAGCTTTCTGCAAATTCTTTAGGTCTCAGAGACTAAAATCAAATATAACAATATCTAAATTTTAGATTAGCCTTACATGGTTTGGAGATTTTGAAATGAATGTTAGTTTGCTAAATTTTAAACATGAACATGATGCAAAGGACACTGGCTTTCAGGTGAAAACAAGATGTGATAAATTGTTTTACGATTAATTTGAAAGTATTGATTATTTTTTTTCTCATACAGATGTAAATTTGAACCCTAGACCTTAAAAGTAATTAGGAGAATTACTAAATCGAAAACATATTTATTTACTATTTACTTACGTGTTACTCTGGATGTGGTAGCTCATATTTACATTCATGTACCAGAGAAGAGTAAGTTACTTCAGGAAGTTATTGCAGGGAAATGTACTTAAGAGGTTACCTTTCTACTTCAGAGGTAAATACAGTGTCTCTTTTTGATCTCTAACACTGAAATGGAAGGACTCTAATTTAGGAGTGATTAGGTTTCTTTTTCTTCTGCATGATCTCTAGCCACTGGAAAAAGCATGTTTGGTGTGAGCAGTTTAGGATAAAATTAGTGACAGGGATTAATTCAAGATAACCTGCAACTGAGCACTTAAAAGTGCATGTAAAGATTTCAGAACTGACTAAAAAAATCAATGGGATACTTTAAAACTTCAGTGCTTAAAAAACTGTGGAAGTCAGTCTACTGAAAGTCTCATGCACCAAAGGTTGTTTCTGAAAATGTTGCTCTAGGGCATCCGAACCTAGGATTCTTCGACTTTTATGGATGCATATACATCACACACATATAGTAAAGAGCTTTTAGGTTCTGTCCTGTTTGTATGTGGTGAGATAGAGTTGCTTCTGAAGGGCATTTAATTTTGGGTCAATGAGGAATTAAAGGAGACTGAGGCTGAGGAGCTCCTCTCAAAAAAATAAAGATTGGATTGCAGATAGTGCTGATATTTTCATGTGAAAATACATATAAAACATGCTGTTTGTGAAATCTGCTGATATTTCATGCAGCTTTGTCAGCTCTGCCAGGAACAAAGTTTCTAGCATTAGGAGGGTATTTGTTGTATAATGCCCTTTTTGACTTGGTTATTTTGCACAGACAAATGTGCTGTTGGCCTTCTGTGCTATTGTTGTATATGTAAATTTTGAAGAAACGGGTGATCCATTATTGTCTTCAGATCTGATTTCCTTCAGACCTTTAGAACACTCATCCATTAAAAATCTCTGAGATTGATGAATGCTTTGAGAATCAGATTAGTAATCCCCCACACCTACCTCTTCTTGCCCTCATGAAGATGAGTGCTTGCACAGAAGGAATGCTAAGCAAACTAGCCTGCAGTATGTTGCAGAAATTAAACTATTAATAAAGGAAGTGATGAAGAATAATAGGTCTGTTGTGCAGACTTGTTTTCTTCAGCATTAAAAGGCAAAAGTTACAGCACCCATCAGCTTGCTTTCATAGTCTGTGAAAGAATTCTGAGTGACTGAGTTTCTCAAAGGAATCTTGATTGTAAAATATGAGGGCCTGATAATGGCAGACTTCAGCTCTTACTCTCTGAAATTAAATAAGGGGTTTCCAGCATGACTCCTATCAGTCATCTTGTGTCTAGAAAGCAGAATTGGGCTGTGTTTATAGTTGGGTGTCAGCTGACTTTGGAAATGATATTGACAGGGGGGTATATTCAGAATTTAGTTAATTTACATAAAGGCATTGCTTGCTCTCTGCTGGCTGATTTCAAAGAGTATTTAACCACATATGTTTGTTTGTTTGTTTTTAAAACACCAGCGTTACTGCCTTTCTATTGATTAAAAATAATTATACAGAAGCATGGAGCCCAGTTCCCACTTCCAGTAATAATCTAGAATTATTTTGGGGTCTTCTGCTGACTGGCCACTGTCAGCATTTTGTTCAGTCTTCAGTTTATATTAACCTTTTTTTTCATGTGCAGTAAGTGCATGTCCTCTTTTCTTTGAGGAACAGTTACTTGATTCTTTCTTTTGCTTTTCAGAAAACTGAAAATGCCCATCCATTTCACAAATGCAGTTAATGGTCTGCAAAGTGTTCATTTTAAGACATAGTGTTTATGAACTGAAAGCACATAGAGGTACTTAATCTCTAATTTCTGTGAAATTTTTTGCCTCCCCCTCCCTCATTTCACTTTGGAATAATAAGTCTCCTTTCACAAGGGGATGATAGCAGAAATATCAACACCTGGTGTATTCATTGGACTACAGTTCTAAAAGTGTGTTCATGAACTATTTGCACAATTAAAGATAGAACCCAGCAAGAACAGAATTAATCAGTATTGAATTACCAGTGTGAAATCAAATTAGGCTAGAAGGCTGGCTAGTTAAGTGACTTACCATTTTTATTAATGTCAAATTTTTGGCGTAGAAAATACCAAGGGTATCCTTATTTGGCCAACTAAGAAATATTAGGTTTTTTCATTTAATTTGTAATTTTGCCCTTCAGATACTAATAGCTGTTAAAAGTGATTAGTCTGCTGTTGTTTTGAAAGCATATATTAGTGTATGCCTGTTCTGCTCTAGCCTTTTTTGCATCCCAAGTGAATCTTACGGAGAAATGAAAGACAAGCAGTTGGCATGGATGTATAAATAGTAGTGTAAGATTATAACAGTGTGTTTTATAGGTAAAATTACTTTTCTGCGTATGGGAGCATGATTTAATACTAAGCTCAAAGCTCAAACCTCTGTTTTACCAGACTCCTCTTTTTAAGAAGAGAAGTTTTTTCATCCAGAAACACTGAAAGAATTGAACGCCACTGATCCTCTCAGGATTTAAATGGGGAAGGGCCATCAAGTTGAAACTGATTCACTTTGAATCTTTGGTTTCTGGAGTTCTGGATTGGAGCCTTAATTTAAATCCTAAGCAAAAAATACAAACTTCTCTTATTGCACTGAAACAGGGTACTGAATGAAGAAGCCCAAGTGTGGCCCACTACTGAATTCATGTTTGCATGAAGTGAAAAAGCAGAAAGGTCTTACACCAGCAAACACATAATCTACCAAACAAATCTATGTCCAGGCTGCTCTAGTCTGGTAATTTAAACTGTTCAAGCAGTGCTTAAATATTAATTGTAAGCCTGTAACACAAAAACTGAAGGTCTAATTGACTTGATCATCTCCCATCTCTTTTCCTTTTTTCTTTTCTGATTTAGGAAAAAAATCCCCTCCTAGTATTTTTAATACAGTATATTAATGATGTTAAAAATGGTCCTCACTTTAACCAAGAGTCATTGTTTCAAACCAGAGATCTTTTTGTTGTATAATCACCTTTGTTAAATCTTAGCTAAGAAGTTCTGATTTGAAAGAGCTTTTGAAGAGCTCCTATGACAGTTGTGAAACTCCTCACCCACAGTGCACAGAACTAAATAAACCTGGTTAAACTTTCTATTTTCTCTTTCTCTCTGTCTTTTGAAACATCAGAGCTTAGGTGTCTCCTGTGTTGTAGCAGGAATGCAGTGAAGCAGGTTACATCCGGAAGGTTGCTTTTGTCTTCAAATGAACTTCTTTCTGAAGTGTGGCTTTTAGGAATTGGAAGTACCCAGCTGTACCCATATTTCTAGCAGTCTTTTGTGTATTTGTTTCACCCTGAATGTCTGTGTTAGCAGAAATGTTTTCTGGAGGAAGGAAACCACCAAACATGAGTTACAGCATGACCTGTCAAACTTCCAACAAAACATTTTACTGAGCAAGTATCTAAGAATTTGGATAGAGTCTGGTTTTTTTTGAAAGGTTTTAGTAGATGAGAACAACGTAAATATAATGAAAAGTAATGGTTTTTCTTGTGTTCTCCTGAGGCACTCTATGCTTTTTCTGTAGATGAAATGTATGCTATTTCTGTATAATGAAACCCATGTTTAAAAAGACAGGGAACTTGTTTGTTGTTCACCCTGTCCTCCCCAGAGGGGATTACACATCTTTCTCATTTAATGGAATAAGAAACAAACATTTATCACTGGGAGGTGCTTATAGTAAATGTCAACATTTGGTAGATGTTGTTTTTTTTTAGTTTCAGAAGTCCAGTTGATTTTGACATGAATGTATTCTTATCGTAAGTTTTGGAGTATAGCATATTCTCAGTTTAAACCAAGTTGTGCTTTTTCCACATCTTGAACTTTCTAAGTAGGCTTAAAATTGATACACAATTGATTTAATGAAGAACACTTTAAAACCATTGTTATTTAGGCCTGGTGTCTATGTACACGTTATTTTTTGTAATGAACTGTTGTAGATCTTCAGGAACTGTTACAAAACCTGTGTTTGTCCATTTATTTTGTCCATTTGGAGGATTTAATTGCTTGATGTGTTAAATGGTCTATAATGCAACAACTTTTATTCCTCTGTTCAGCTGTGATTGGGACAGGGTTGATATTTGTCTTAGGTGTATTGAAGCTGTGCAGAATTGTGACTTAAATGTCATGAGCACCCTCCAGGTTTGTACA